TTTTTTTTCACATGCGGGAAGTCACATGACATGATCAGGAAATTCACCTCAGACCACCGACTACAACGCTAAGATTTCCAAATCCACCATTTCAAAGGGTTAATTGTTTCAAAGCAGTTTTACAGAAAATCATGATGTTAATGTTTATAATAGCTTAATATCTTCATGTCGCATTTAGCAGATTAGAGCTGGATGATAACAGTTACATTTTGTGACGACATAAACAATAAAACAGTGGAGATTTTCTATATAGTATATATCACTTTATGTGAGTATACTGTGTGTATGCAAATAAAGTTGGATGTACTTAAATATCCAACATTACTGTATATATAGAACTGGGGGGTAATGTAAATTAATCCTTTTTAATGAAAGCAACAGAGATGCAACAAAGTTGAGTGCATTTATTTTTCTGCCTTTGGCAGACACTTTTACATGCTTTTTACTGTGAATTCAAGCTATAAAGTTTTTATCTGGGAATTGAACAATGTCCTAGTTTAACCAGTAGAAACAACACAGTTTACTAGCAGGACTAGTAAGGATTTCACAGGACTTTAAAGCAATTTAACCTGTCAGTGTGTGCAAATCTCTAGACATCATCAGGCCTTTTTCAGGCTGTTCCCTGTACTTGAGGAACTTATGAAATTTAAGATATTATTACAGAAATATTTTTCTGTTAACAGAAACATTCTGAAATAATGTGTGCCATTTAAGTAAATCTAACTGCTTCAACTCACTCCAGATGCAGATATTTGACATGTTTTAACCCATAAACTCTCATATCACTGTTCAATTCTGCTAGAACACAATCTAGCAAAGCTAGCAAATTTCCATTGCTTTGAAATGTTTTAATAATTCAAAATCACCCGATTGCTGTGTTTTCATGACTTTTGAGCACTTGTGCACATCGATCACCTCCTCGATATTCATGATTATAATCTAACTTTCACTTAAGCTTTTTCTCGCCGTCATATCATCAGAGCTGCCAGCAGAACAACACGATAAGCACTAAAAACAGTAGTGCTTGTCTGATGGAAAATAACATGCATTTGGTTTCCTTTTTTTTTTTCCATTGTCTCGCTTACGCAACATCTCACGGTTCAGCCCAGACACATACATTAAAGGGACAGTTCACCCAAAAATGATTTACGCACCCTCAAGCCATCCTATGTGTATATGACTTTCTTCTTTCATACAAATACAATAGGAGTTAAGTAAAAAAAAAACGTCCTGGCTCTTCCCATCTTTATAAAGGCAGTGAATGGGTGTTGAAAATTTTAAGCCCAAAGAAGTGCATCCATCCATTATAAAAAGTGCTTCACACGGCTCCGTAGGGTTGATAAAGGCCTTCTGAAGCGAATCAATGTGTTTGTGTAAGGAAAATATCCATATTTAAAACTTTATAAACCGTAATCTGTAACATAATATGTCGTACGCGCGTTCACTAGAGAGTGACGCTCCAGCGGATGACGCAGGCGTAGCGGAAGCTCCTTTTTTAAAGCTCACGCTCTACCTTCCATAACACAGCATATCAACATACAGTACCATCATTAAACAATTCACAGTGCATATGCAAAGAGATATGTGCTTTATGTAAACTGTACAACTCCCAAAGTGAAACATAAGTGAACATACACATTTAATTTCCCAGGGAAAGTGCGATGTTACACAGCTCTTGTTTTGTGTGTACCTGAGAATAAACACACTCATCCTGAGGCTGCAGGTGAGCGTTTGAGCAGTTCAGAGTGAACATCACCTTGCCGTACTGAACCTCTTCCTCCTTCTTCTCTTTCCTCTCCTTCCGCTTTTTTTGTGGTTTGACCTCGACGTATTCCGCATCAGCAGCCGGGAGTCATTCTGCACAGAAAGAAGAAATGGTGAATGGCGAGACATTACCGGACATTACACACTGAAAAGTTGTTGGTTACTACTAGTCTACTGCAAAAATAGCAGCTCCTTAAACATTAATGATGACACTTTCTCTGAGTCAGTTCTCTATTTTTGTAAAAGGGAAAAAACAGTTTGCATTGAACATGAGATGGGAACTGTCTGACTGATCCTGAGGAAAAGAATCGACTCCAAAAGAGTCAAAAAAGATTTGTTCACTTACCAAACACCATATGATTTAGAGTTTGCAAACATTATCTTAATCCATAAAGCAGCGTTCAAACGTTAAACTATGTGATTTCAAAAGACAGAAGTCACCAAGAAATCTAGTTAAACTACTGTCTGAATCTAAAGTGATAAAGGCTTTTGTTTTCAATGTGTGATAGTGACCGAATGACCTTGAGTTTTAGGAAGTACCATCACTAATTCAATGATTGAGACTAATAAACCACAAACTGATATAGTCTTGTGTTGTTTTAAAGAGTACAGCAGATCTCAGAGCTTCACTGAGTTTCTTACCTCTTTTCTTCTTTTCACCCTTTTTCTTATGAGAGATATCAGCATATATGATGTCCGCACTGCCAGCAGCAGCTGATGGGAAAACACTGACATTAGCAACAGATAAACTACAACCTAATTTCAATCATAAAAGTATTGGCTTCAAAATTAGGTTTATAACAGATGATTATCAGATCATGCTGATTAATGTTTTTATATCGAACTGTTTGCATGGAAAATATCAAGAAAAAAGTGAATACAGAATACAGGAAGTAAGATCATATCTTCTCTAATCTTAGATTTACTGAAAATAAAAATATGAGTAAATTCTGAGTAAACTACACATAAAAGGCGCCTTCCCAAATATTCCCAAATGACTTCATTGTTAAACTTTATAATTAGTGAATTCCAGTCATTTGTAATCAAGGCTTTAATGTTTTCCTGTTTACAAGTGGCTATTTATTTTCACATTTAACTAATTGGTTTCTAATAAATTGAATTTTGTAATTATATATTATTATGGTAAATAGTGTTATCAAAATGCAGTGCCAGAAAAAAACTAAACATGTGGATGTTTTACACATGTTTCACATGTTGCTGTAAATTTTTTTCAAACCAGCTAACATTGTGAACATACGAAGACTTTCGTAAATCAGAAAAGATTTATGAACAATGAACATAAAAAATTTATTATGTGTTTTTATGCATAAATGTATATTATGTGTTTCATGATTGAGGCCCAATGAATTTAACTTTGCTATACATACTGTGATCATATTGAGTACAAGCCAAAAATTAATGGTCAAAAATAATTTTTTTCAATCAATTTACACCAGTTTACATTGGTTAATCCCAGAATTTTTTTTTTTATTTTTTTTTAATTTCCACCAAAATTGGCTTGGATCATCTTCACCACGTATATAATGTTTCTGCTTTTGGCTTTTGGTGCAATTGTCTTTAAAACTGTCTGTAAGGGAGTGCAATGACTAAACAAATCTATTCAGAATATATAACATATAAGCCACAAATCCTCTCAAGATTTTAATGCGTATTGTTTTTGGCTCTGTAATTGCTGCTTGCATCGAGTAGTACTACATTTGAACTTTTATCAGTAAGTATATGAACTATACATATTCAAAATGAACTGACCTGTCGACTTGACCTGTTTTTTCTTGTAAGCGTGATATACAGTGATGAACAGCAGAATCAGGATCAGAGCAACGCAGCCCAAAGCAATCAGAGAGACATGTAAAACTATGGAAGAAAGAAACACAAGCTCAATTAAATCAAACTACAAAACTGCTTCGAAAAGTTCATTCGTACCAACTGCAGCAGCAACAAGAACAACTAGCACAGTAAATTAGTTCAAAATTAGTTCAAAAATCATTTTAGCTACAGAAGACTAGAGCCTGTGGATCTCTCAAAACCATCATTATTCAGTTTATTTGTAATTTGCAGTATTTGCTGTTGCTCAACACACACACATCGATGAAGGAAATACTCCATGGGTGAGATTCACCAGCTTTTGAGAAACTCATACCATATTCTGAATCCTTTACTGTTGAGGTCACAGATGCAGTAGATGGTCCTGTAATAAAACATAATTTCAGAATAACCTGTTTTCTCCCTTAATATAAATTACTACAGAGATAATTAATAATTTAGTTATGTATTGTATTAGGTGGCTAATTAAGGCATTTACTTTGTTTGATTCTCATGAAACCTGTCTAGGTCAAGTCCAGGTCACATTTCAGTTCAAAATCTGACTAACTGTAAATAATACGTAACTGTAAGTAAGTAATATTTTGCATTCATGTTTCATTGAATGTTTTTAGGGGCATTAAATCATTTTGCACTGTGGCATTTAGGCCTCAAATACCTGACATATGACGAAAATTCAAAAAAGGAAAAAAAATACATTCTCAATACATTAATGCAAAAAAATATTAATATGTAGAAATTAACTATATTAAAAAATGTAAAATATACACAATGTAATGGTTGCATTTGTTTTCCATCTTTAAATTATGGCAATTAAAATCATAATATTATCATCATAAAATGTACCTGAGAGAAATGTATCATATGCAGTTGCAAAAAAATGAAAATATATCATATGCAATTGCAGTAATAATAATCAAATACCAATTATCACTGTAAATAATTGCAATTACAAAAAAAGAAACTGAATTGTAGAACATTACAGTAAAGAAAATTTAGGGAGTGCATTTAATTGTCATGAAAAAAGGTCAAAATGCAAATAAAATGCATTGTTGTAAATGTAATGGTTGTAGTTCTAATTTTCCTCATGCAAAATATAATTTCTTTTGATTTTGTGGTGAAATGTTTATTTGATTGTTTATAATTTAGCAAGTGAAAAAGTAAGAAAGTAAGTAAATAAACTACAGATAAACAACAAATAAACACAGAAAGGTTTATATACATCTGGTCTCACTTAATTAAAAAATAAAATAGAATCAACTAAAAAGTCCTAGAGGAGGTAAAACCATCACAGTCCATCAAAATACGCATCAGAGATATTGCACTCTGGCATAAGAGGATTGTGTGGTGAAGTATGAGTTTGGCATGCTCTCGACAGGTTTTGTGAGATTCACTCATCTTCATCACTCTTGTTGCTGTTGCTGTGGTTTTTATAAATACGTTGACATTCATGTATTAAAAGCTCACCAGAACAGGGTTTCAGACTAATGGCCGTCTGTCCGTGACTGACGTGGTTCTTCACACTGCAGCTGATGTTTCCGTCAGTTCCCTCATCCAGATCAATGCTGGAGCTTCCATCCATCAGTGGATCTCTATTCAGAGTCCAGCTGTAGAGGAGCTGATCCCCCTCAGAGGAGCAGGACGCCCTCATCGCCCCACTGGAGGAGCAGCGGATCGACACTTCCACTGAGCCAACAGGAGCTGGAGGGAGGGACACGTGACAAACACAGGAGAATGTTGTTCTTCCACTCTACTCATACTATTACTGGAGTATGTTGTGTGTTTACTGTGTGATACAGGAATTAAACCCTTCACAGAGATTCAACTGATTCATTTGAGAGAGTGAGGTCTTTGGAGAACACGAGATTGTAATGACTCGGATGAGAGAGTTTCTGTACCTTCAACATTCACTTGAAGATCTGTAGATGTTTCTGAGCCATCTGAGCAATGATCGAGTGTTAATGTGAAATTCCCTGAATCTGCTCTGATCACACGGTTTATTATCAGAGTCCCATTAATGACTGTAACTTCAGGTCTGTTACTATAAAGATCACAATCCCTCATCCTGCCATATTTTACTCTACAAACTGGCTCAATTGTGCTGTTGTTGTTTATTCTCTTTTGTATCTTCATGTCACTAGTGTTCAGCACCATCAGCAGATTGAGTTTGTGTCCCAGAGCTGAGTAACAGGGATCAGTCTGATTAAACCAGCAGAAACGATCCAGACCTGAAGAACAAACACATTTAGTCATTTAGCAGACACACACACACACACACACACACACACACACACACACACACACACACACACACACACACACACACACAGAGAGAGGTGTGTACAAAGAGAGAAGAACAGTGGATTTAAAGGAGTGAAAGTAAGCTGTAAAGAGAGATGTAAGAAAGTAAGAAACAGCGGAAAAGTATCTGAAACATTTTGAATGAAATATTAGCTTAGTTTGCAAGGTAAAGAAATATGTTACTGTTATACTTAACAAAGAGACATTTCTAAGAAGAGTTTATTGAGATGAAGGAGGGGGTGATGAACTCAGACTTAAACTTAAAGCCACAAACTTCACATTTTGACTTCATGTGTCTATAACACAAGTGCTGAACTCTATTACTGTGATTTAAACTCTCACATTTCACAAATCAATTCCTCCACTAACTCTGCAGACTCCTAATGTAATATTACAGTATTTTTTTTTTCAGATATTTTTATTTTATTCTTTTTTATATATTTTATTTAATCAGCAGCATGAGTTTGATGTGAAAGTGACTCACATGTACAAGCAGTTTGTAGCAGCAGCATCAGTCCAAAGATGAGTAACATTTCTCTAAAGTCCATTTTCAAGAAGAGCCCAATCCCAGCAGAAGAGTGTGATGCTGCTTCAGTCACACTTCTAACTCTGACACTCCTCTGTGCTCACAGTACATTAATAAAACTACTGCAGTTTCTGTGAGAGAAAAGGAAGTTGATATCATTTGCAGTTTGGGGCCTTGTACAAGGTCACAAGAACAGACAACACATATAGGTTTGCTTTTACATCATGGTGGGGACTTTCCGTTGATTATGCTTATGAATAGTTCAGCCATGAAACTCTACTCATGTTCTCATTGGTTTGTTCAATTCAATGTTCCCAGCAAATCGAATTCACATACTCATTACTGTTTACCAGTATAACCAGGACATATTCAATGAATGCTATGTCTGCACGCTATGCGTGTCCTCATCTTAGCCCACCACCTCCCCAGCACCACCTGCCTAGATCCGTTACGGGAATCTTCCTCTCTCTAGCAGCAGCAGCAGCAGCAGCAGCAGCATGTTTTCTTTCAATGTCATGATCTGAGCATTTAGCAGAAGCAAGTCTACTTGCTCAGAAGCAGCAGCAGCGTAGATCTAGTCCGCCAATACCAAACCTATGCACATTCTATTTACATTAATAAAGTTTTTTGTCATGACTGAACTGCAGATTTACATTTTCACAAAGACATTATTTAGTATGTTAATAAGCTGTTTTTGTTACAGCGGCAGGGCTCATAATGAATACTCAACAAGCATCGACCACAGGGAAAAACTGGCTATAATTAACTGCTGACTAACAAACATCTACTAAAGAAACTGTCTGCCATGATTTGCACATTTTCTGTCAATTTTCACCCAAGTGTGAATCCACGAGGCACAAAATCATAATCGATGATGTTCCCTATTAACTCGACTGGAAAATTGACCATCAGAAGTTTATCTAGGATATCTAAAGTGTTTTATTATTATATTAATAATAAAACTTAATAACCTCACTTTACACCACTGAAACAAAAATATGAGGGACAAAATGACCTGCGTTGTGAGACAAATATACAGGAAAAAAACCAGCTAAATAAACCAGTTGTCATAAGGATATTTATAATGTCAGTTTTAAACCCTGCACGTGCTTTAAAAAAGCTCTCACTGATTATTGCAGTTTGTAAAAACATTTTTCCTGATAAAGAAGCTCAGTTTGTGCTGAAATGATGAAATATCTGTCGTTACTCAAGATCACCACACGAGGTCCGAAATTTCCTGGGGTTTGAATTTTGATTTGAATTGATCCAACATTGAAAATGGTTTATTAAAAAAATATATATTTTTACATCATGTAATGCAGTGTTGTTTCTTTCAAAACCTCACATGCACATGGCCTATATTTGAGACTCATCGTGTTTGACTAAGTGTTTTTTTTTTTTCAGGTATGATATCCGTAAATACCCCACCTTCCTGCACCTGCACTGCACGGTTACCTTTGACTATAAGATCCCCTACTACACCACCATACTGCGTCTCTTTCTGCTGTCACACAAAGACCAGAGGCAGATGTTCATGGTGAGTTTTGTGTGATTCACCTCACCAAACATAAACTAAACCTAATAGTCATGTTTACATGCACCCAAATAATCCGTTTAGAATTGGATTGATGGCTCAATCAGACTGAAAACCTTTATCTAAACTCCTCAAACAGTCCGATTGAGCTCAATCCGAATGAAATATCAACTGAATTGATTAAGGCACAAAAATAATAAGGCAAAAACTTTTCATACCATGTCATACGAATGTGCGTACTTTTATTTAGCTTTAAAGGCTAAAATATAAATGCCAGCTTTCTTTTTGAATATGTCATCATGGCAAAGCAACATTTTACACTAATGGTAGCTCCGGTTACATTGTGCCAAATGGGTTTTGTTTAATTTACATGAAATGAACATGTAAACAAATATGTGAATCGAATAGCAACGTTCAGGGTTCATATAAACATAACTTTCTGAATGTGAAATCAGGTTGGATTTTTTGTTTGTTTTATTTATTTTTTTATTGCAAATTGTGAACATTAATATTGTGGGTTCCAATTCTCAATAATGCAATGGTGCTGTTTCTAACTAATACAATGGTGCCACTTATTGGTTAAATGGCGAATTACAGGTTTATTTTTTTCAATATGAGCTCAGTAAATCTTTACAGATGCTTTATAAAAAAATATGCTATACATAGTTATTTAGAGGGTTTATTTTTTATCCTTGTCTAAAAGGTTTTTATACCAAATGTTGTGGTTATAAATTGCTCATATTATAGTTTTTATATTTATAGCCTAATAGTGTGTCAAGATGAGAAGTTGAGCTAATTTTTAGGTTTTTACTGTTGTCAGTCTTTATCTGAGTGTGTGTGTGTGTGTGTAGTCACTCGGAGTCTCAGTGTATAACGTGTGCGTATAAGGTGAGCTCAGGGCTGCTGTATGTTCTGTAGAGAGGCTTCATCTGTGTGCATAAGCCAGCGCTTCGAGGAGATTTGCTGCGTTAACTTCACCAGAGGAACCACCACCACCTTAACTTTCAAATAGAAACCAAGCAGAATAACCATTACTTCTTCAGCAACATTGAGAGGTAAACTGCACCTTATCCCTATCATTACACCTTTCCCAAGAAAACACATACAGCAGTGTCTCTTCTTTAAAACATCTTTGCAGAAATAACATAGATCACCTATCATCTGTCTTATGTAGGAAAGAATGCGAAAACTCTTGACTTTGTCAATGCCACGAAGCTGAACATCAAGAACAGAGGATTTAAAGAGGTCATTTCTGTTGTTTTTATAACATTTATTTTATTTATTTATTTATTTCATTTTTTTTTGTTGTTTAAGTCAAAATACACAAAAGTAATATGTACCGTATAGTGTTGGGCAATATAATCTAAATTAATTTTATTTTTTTATTAATTATAGTTAAAAATGATATATTTCTAGTAATGTATTTGCTGTGGGGAAAAGTCAACCAATACTTTATAAATCTAGCTAAAACATTTAGCCTCTTTTCTACACAGTCTTTCAGTAAATCAACACAAGAAAAAAAAATTTTTTTAGTTAGACTATTGTTTAAAAGATTTTTATTTTTTGGCAAAAGTGACAGTAAAGACATTCATGATGTTACAAAAATAATATTTCAAGTAAATGCAGTATCCTGAAAAAAAATGTTTTCCACGAAAATATTAAACAGCTCATCTGTTTTCAACATTGACAATAATAAGAAATGTTTCTTGAGCAGCAAATCAGCATATTAGAATGATTTCTGATGGATCATGTGACACTGAAGAATAGAGTAACGATGCTGAAAATTCAGCTTTGATCACAGTAATAAATCACATATTTAAAAGAAATCAGTTCATTTGTAATACTTTACAATTACTGTTTTTACAGTAGAAAAATTGAAGGGGGTCTGAATACTTTCCGTACCCACTGTATATGCAGACTTGATGAGCATAGGAGACTTCTTACAGCACGTGTAAAATCAGTCCAGTAGAGTAGCGAGACGTCACGAGCGGGGTGACGTGAGCAACCAGGAAGCATAAAAGCGCATCCGGCAGAGCGCAAGTTAGCTTTGATGAAGTACCGCCCGCAGGGATGCAGGGAGTATGGCAAGGAGACGCAGCATCTCATTCCCTCGGGGAACCATGGTTACATACGTAACCTAGGGACGTTCCCCTTCAGGAACTCGAGCTGCGTCGAGAAACGCTTTGGGAATGAGAATACCCACTGCGCCATACTATCAAGTCCCTGCCTGTGTGTGTATTCACAAGCACATCACAACGAGAGGTCTTGGGACCCTGGGGTAGATGCCAGGTCCAGGTTATAGAAGCGGACAAATGTGTGTGGAGAGGACCAGCCCGCCGCAGCACAAATGCCCTGCAGGGCCACACCGAAGCTGAAGGCCTTGGAGGCCGCCATACTCCTGGTCGAGTGCGCTCTGACCCCCATAGGTGACGGGAGGCCAGAGGACTCGTAGGCTAGTGAGATGGCCTCGACCACCCACCTAATCATAGTCTGCTTGGTCACCGGAGATCCTTTCTTGGATGGACCAAAGCAAACAAACAGCTGATCTGCCTTACGCCACGGGGCAGCTCTATGTGCGTAAGCGTCCTGTGCATGTACTGGACAGAGCAGATTAAGCCTTTCTTGGCCTACTTCCTAGAACAGAGGAGAACAGAATGCCTGTAGTACTATGGGCCCTGGAGTAGAAGCGGGCACCTTAGGGACATACCCGACCCTCGGGTAAAGGAACGCCCTAACCATGCCCGGGGCTGAATACTGATTTACCAATACTGACATACCATGCCGATACTGAAAGCGCCTGAAGATCCCCGATCCTTTTCAGTGAGGAAATAGCGAGGAGAAAGAAGCCTTCAGAGTGAGGAACTTGTCTGAAACTTCCTCTATGGGTTCAAAGGGGGCATTACACAAGCCCTCCAGAACCACCGCCAGGTCCCATGAGGGCACCTTAGTGTGCTGTACTGGCCTCAGCCTCAGGGTGCCACGGAGGAAACGGGTGACGAGTGGGTGTCTCCCCAATGATTGACCACCCAGAAGGGCGTGGTAAGCAGCTAAGGCCGCCACGTATACCTTTAGAGTGGAGGGAGATAACCCTGCGGAAAAACGCTCCTGCATAAACTCCAGAACTGTACCAACTGGGCAGTTGACTGGGTCCTGCAGTTGCTGTCTGCACCAGGAAGTGAAAAGCTTCCACTTCAAAGAGTACTGTTTCCTTGTGGTGGGAGCTCTGGACTGGAGTATGGTCTCAACAACCTCAATTGAGAGTCCAGATGCTAGGAGTTGTGCCCCCTCAGGAGCCATGCCCACAGCTTCCACAACTCCAGGCGGGGCTGAAGGATGGTGCCCCCCACCTGAGAGAGGAGGTCCCTCCTGATCGAAATCTCTAGCGGAGAGCCGTCGAGGAGGGACACCAGGTCCGAAAACCATACTCGGGCTGGTCAGAATGGGGCTACTAGCAAAAGGCGGACCCCGTCCCGCCGTACTCTCTCCAGAACTCCCGGGAGCAGAGAAATCGGGGAAAGAGATCGGAGAAAATCGGAGAAATCGCTGGATCCGGCTCGCCAGCCTGTAAAGAGGGCGCAAA